TTTTTCATTGGCAGAACTGGTGCACGCTGAGTGCACACTAAAACTTGTGCATAACCAATTCTATATTTAAGAACCATAATTAAATACCGTTTCAAATAGCCGGTAAAATAATCTGTGCAGCATCCGTATGGATTTTTTCACTAGATACTTTCGTATTTAAATCGACCTTAAATACAATAGCGTTTTTCATTGCTAGAACTGGTGCACGCTGAGAGCACGCTAAGTCTTGCGCATAATCGATTCTTATATTTAATAATCGTAATTAAATGTACCATTAAAAAATCTGTACAGCACCCGTACGGTTTTTTTTGCTAGATAGGTCCTGAACGAGTATTTAAGACGACTTTAAATATAAGAATTGATTATAAAAGAGCCTCAGTGTGCACTTAGCGCGCACTAGTGCGAGCAACCGAATTCGTTGTCACGGTTTCGGGGTATCGAGAACTTTTGTTACGAACAATTTCGTTTGTTATCCACGTAACAGCCGACTTTATTGCTGGAAACCGCGTGCGGGTGTTTCATCCTTAGCGCACGATTTTCTCGCGTGTCGACACATGCAAGCTCAGTCGCCGCGCGTGTATCGTCAGCGAAATTCAACGTAATTCCACCGTGTACATACGCGATTTCGTTTCGTAGGCGTGTTTTTATAAAAGGAAAACGTCAGCTTTGACGCGCCGGACGCGCCGCTTAATGATAATTGCGAGATAATCGAGAAACATATTATGCATACGTTCCATAATTGACTGCCGTCCCGCGATCGAAGGATACCGCTTATAAATAATTATTCGGCTTGAAATGCGCACAACGTGAAATTGTAATTTCGAAAGTATGAAAACCCGATGGTAAATGAATCGCCAGTTTAGCATAGTAAATTTCATTAAATTAAATTTTCACACTGACATTTTCGACATAATTATCGTAACACGGTTCCCGGAGTATTTTTAACGAGGCGCCTCACGCGCTATGATATTCCGCGAATAAACCTCCTTGGCGGATCCGGGGAATTGTCTTCGCCGCGTGAAAGGGAATAATAAAACCGCGTTTCGTCGCGGCGTTAAAAATCAATCTGGATTTCATCTCTGAAACTTTCGTTAAAGATAGCCCGCCGAGTCGAGCGACGAATAAAAAGTCCGGACTGCGAGATGCGGCGCTATCGATCGTTTTCCCCCCAAAATGTCCGCCTTATTCTAACGCTCGCTCGGAAAAAAAAAAGAAAATCGTCGGGCCTCTCTCGAATCTCCTCTCCGGCGGGGAAATAAAGATCCGCTCTCGAAACTGGTCCCCGTCAAACAGTAAATCCGGCGATTCTGGGTCGCGCCAGCGCCCGAGCTTACGCGAGTAATATTAGTTGTTGACTGCCGGCTCAAAATGCCGGTGTTAGCAATTAACGGCATAATTATGAGCCACTGTTGCAGACATAAACGAGAAACGCCGCCCCCTCTCCTCAGCTCGCGCGCCACAGTTGTTTAACGCTTTTCTCATTAACCGTATGTTGAAGAAGTTGACAACGAGTTAACGAGCTGCTGCCTCTTTTGTTTCACTTAACCCACTTCTCCGAATCTCCGATTCTTCTCTTTCTGCCCACGCGAAAACCCGCGTAACCCGCACCGAATATTTTTCAGCGCTTAATTAAAAAGTTCGCTTGTTATATGCGGACGCAGGAGGGAAAAGAGCGGGAGGAGGAGGAGGAGGAGGTGGTGGATTTTACCGCACTTTTCTCAAACGCACGTTAACTGAATTTTTCCAAGCGGCGCGGCGCGGCGCGGCGCCGAATTCGCCCATTAATTTTTAACGCTTCGTTTAAAAGTGGCAGTGAATTCGGGATCTGCATCGCTGAAGCGCGCGAATTTGCATAACGGCCGTAAACACACGGCGCGAGAGCGTCTCTATCAATAAAACGCCCGGCGAGATCATCGTAGAACAATATAGCGCTGTATGCCGAGCGTTTTATTGGCGATACGCTTATACCGCTATGTAAATTCGCGCGCGAACTGACCTTCACTGCCGATTTTTCGAATATCCGTCGCTTAAGCCGAGAGACTCGTCGGATTCATTCCGCGCGCCGTCCGTCTCGAGAGGATAAAGTCGGCGCAATCGGGCTGTTCGTCTCTTCGGGGAAAAGAAAAAATGAAACGAACGGTTTGAAAAACGAGCCGAAGGCTCCCGGCGAGTAACGCGAGTGGCTTCGGTTACTCCCCGTCGGAAATAGCGAAACCGGAAACTGAGGAGGCGGCTCCTCCCTCGCCTGCGCGCCAAACGAGGTGATGTCGGACGACGGGACTGATGAGTCGTGTGCACGTGTTGTTGCAGCTCCGCGCCTGGATCTGGAGAGCCTCGAGAGCGGATATCACGGCCTGGTGAAGGAGAATGAGACCCTGGTCGAGGTGACGCCGCAGATCCGCGCCCTGGGCACGAAGGTCTGCTCGTTCCGCATCGCGAACAAGCACCACGGCGAGGCGCCGTTCGAGATCGTCCTGAAGGAGAAGGGGATGGCCGAGCTGCGGGCGTTCCGGGTCCTCAACTGCGAGAAGCGCCGCAATTACAAGTTCGACATCGCCGCGGTCGGCTGCAACGGGGCGCAATCGGAGAAGTATGTCCTGGCACTTTTGCACGGGCCACGTGTACTGGAACAAACAATTTTTCGCTGCCGTAGCTAATCATTGGGTAAAAATATTTTGCTGCCGTAACAATATCCCTGGCGAAAATTTTGAGCGAGAGACGACGTTTATTTATGAAGAGTTTTATCGATGGTTACATTGTTTATGAAGAGCTTTATTGATGGTTACACCGTTTTGGAAGTACGTTGCGAACACCTGGTTAATTCTTCACTGACAGTAACATTTTACAAACACGTAGGAAACTATAGTGGAAACGTTTGACATTGTATCATTAAACGCAATTTGAACACTTGTAACCGTGAACGTGTCATAAACAACTCCGTGATTAAATTTATATCTCACAAACAATTCAATGGACGTTTTGAAACTCAAGTAAAACATTGACTCACCATTTAAACAAACTCCTTATGAACGTATTATTTTCGCCGGGGATAGATTTCTAGAGCACAGCAAACGGTTTGCTGACGCGCCTAACGCAACAGGCGCAGTAGCAAAATGTTTAGCTATCGCAACTAAATGTCAGCTGTCCATACTTTACAATTGAAATTTAGTCGCCACGTGCAGTTTCTAGCTACGGCAGCTACGTGTTTCTTTCCGTGTAGGAACGAGACTCTCAGGCCGATGGCAGAGAACGACCTATAAACGCTTAAGACTGCCTTAGGCCCGGTTTCGCCAACGTTGTTTAACTCTAAGCTTAGTTAATTCGTTCTTTGTCTCTTTTCAGCCGTCACTTTAGGAAGAGACAAACGTGAATTAAACTAATTGTAAGATTAAAGTCAAGCGACGTTTGGTGAAACCGGGCCTTAGTCGTAGACGTAATTCGTCGTGAAAGGCTGTTGTATACGACTGATGCCTATTTCTACTAATGCAGACTGACTTTGATTTCGTGTTAATGTACTTTCCCAGATAACAATGCATACCTGAAAGACGCCATAAAGATATCTTTAAGATAACTTTTAGACGTGCACTAAAAGATAACTTAATGCTGTCTACAAGATTTCTTTTAGACACGCGTGCTATCTGGGTTTTGTCTTCTTCTAGTTTCGGGAATTGGGATAAGTTAAAAACTCAGTTTAAACGGAGATTCGAATTAATCTGCACCGCTGGAAACGGGCGTGAGGCGGTCCCGGGCGTTCACGGGTCGTTCTCTGCCGTCAGCCTTACGCTCCAGCGATCCTCGCGCGAATTTTCATCCGTCTGTCATAACGAATGTTATAGCGGCGCGAGCGCGCACCGTTTCGTTCGAGGAAACTCCCCGCGAGATAAAGTAAACTTGACGAAAGTAGAGCGGAATAGACGATACGGAAGAACTATACCCAAGTTTATAATTGCGCGCGAGAGTCTCGGCCCCGCTTCAACACGCGACTCCCGTGCTTTAGCGTTTGAAAAAAAAAAGAAGTTCCCTATCGTATGATGCTCTCGGCGCTCTCGGATAACGGCTAAGTAGAAATGTACACCTCCGCCTCGTCGGACTTTCCTTCGCGCGTCGTAGTTATCTTATTTTTTTTCCCCCCGCTCTCCGCGCACTTGGACAACTCGCGAGGAAACTTTCGCTGAAAAACATTTAGACAGTGTCTGCGAGATGATATACATCTCGTATAGATGCTACTAGAATTGCAGCCCGGCTTTTTACAAATGTTACGAAATTAGGAATATTATGAAACTCCGGCAAAAATGTTACTGAAATATGGAGCTCGGCTTCCCGGAAATGTGTCATACCGAATTCCGGGTGTATTTAATTAGAAAGAAACCGGGATGTTTTATCAATGCAATTAGCGGCCACGCTGCACAACGGGGAGCGTAATACCCGTATGCAATTTATTTATATTTGTTACATTTATATCGTGGCGGAAGAAAATAGAAGTGCGGCGCGTACGTTGCGGCGAAGAAATTAAATATTCCGTTTAACGTTTACGTCCGTTCCGTTCGTAATTTAAACTTTATGCGCGCGTAACGCGGGCATAAATTGCGGGCGTCCCGTCGCGTTACCGTCGCGGATTATATCATTAAAACGCTCCGGAAAGACGGAAACGCGCTCCATCGAAAATGTATCGTCTTACGCCCGGCATTTATCTCCGCGGTTGAAGCCCGCGATAAGTCATTTCGCGTACATGTGGGTCGTCAGGTCGCGCCAGCACAGTGCCGATTTTTTTTTTCGGTGGCTCGTAGTCGCGGCGCGTCTATCAGCCAAATGAGGAAATAACTCCCTTGTCCGGAGTCGCGCAAATTTTCTCATTACGAGGCTGCGCGCGCGCGCGCGATTTCACGCCCGTCTGAAACGATAACTGGCGACTATTCCCTCGCGTCCGTTCGCGTTTGCTCTCGATCTCGCGCCTCGATAAACGTTACACGTCCCACGGAATGAAACTTTTACGCCCGCGATCGCGCGACAGCTAATAAAATGTATTGTAGACCCGTGGGGGAAGAGACAAGAGTTATGTCACCGCCGTAGAGCGTAAGAATACGAGCCGGTTCTGCGGAAGCTTCCGCCGGTGAGTCGCGAAACTTCATAATTATAATCTGTAGCGCAATTTGTATTTATATACCGTCGCGCGAATATGTAAAATTTCGACGAGTGCGAGCGCCGTAAATATGTAAAACGTTTAATTTCGCATGCCGCGTAACGTCGGGCAGCGAGTTGGCTAACAAACGCGGTAAATATCGCGGGTACGCGGGCGAAATTAGGGTAAACAGGGAAAGTAAATCGCGGGGGGTGATTCGACGCGAAAAACTAGCGCGATGCTCGTTCCGTTTCCGTCTCGGAATCTGTCTCGCTTCGCCGAATCGCCGCCAACGAATGGCAGATCAATAGTGAAACATCTCGTGTATACGTGCGCAACATACGATGCTTTTATATACATATATATATATATATATGAGATTTCGCGGTGAATTTTTCATACACAAAGCGGGACGCAACGGCGAAATTTTACCGCGGCGAGACGGTCGGGCGAATTGCGCGATCGATTGATATCGCGTGCCGCGACGGTATCGCCTCGTAATTTCTAATTAGGATATCGACGTGTCCGACGCGTTATCAGGACATTAATATGGAAGAGTCGAGGCGGGCCCGGGCGAGCGCCGCTGCCCCCCCTCGATATTATTTATTATTATTACGCGGGGCGCGTTTGGCGGATTTTCGGCGCATTGATTTTGCCGCGTCTAAAATTTCCACCGTAAATAGATTCCGCTCGAGCGCGCGGATTTTCGGTAACGAAACAATCCCCGAGTCGAAATTCAATCCTTTCCTCTCGCACGTACACGGGGGACGGAGGGGGTCTCCGGCGGCATATCGCATTATTGACTTTTTCGCTGTACGCCGCGCATTAAATTTCCGATATTGCTCCGAGCGGACCGCTGTCACATAAATGTTTTATATTAAGTATATCGACAGTATTTGCTTGACTGTAATTCTTTTAAATCCCTTCCCAATGGATACGCGGGATAAAGTGCATTCCTCCGTTATGGGGACGCGGCGCGGAAACGTTGAAATAGATGTCCGCGCGGTCTCCCTACGTCGTCGGCGCCGCGGCGCATAAATTGTATCGCTAATTCGAAAAACCATTATAATTGAATCCATTACGACGGTAAGCATATCTGTGGCGGCGTGAAATAGCTAATTCTCTCGATGCGAAAGTTATTAAAGCAACCTTTATGGCGGGGGAAATAAGCTCTTTTAAATTCATCATGGAGATTATAATGGAAATTCTACGGTCGTAATCCGTTCTGGGTACAGTCGAAATAATCTTGCTGGTAGTTGGAGCTAAACATTTTTACGTTTCGCGTAACTGCGCCCTCCCCCCCTTTTTTTTAAATTCTACCCGAAGCCCATCGGGAAATTGCTCGCGGGGAGAGATTTTCCGAGAAAGCACGGGCGCGAAAATGTATTAATATAAATTGCGAGGGTGTCCAAACGCGGGGAGGAATTCGGGGAATCCGGGCATTCCCAGGATCCCTCTCGTCGCGCGCCGACGTTTCCGCGTTATCTCGCCGCCCGTATAGCGCAGGAGAGCAAAGAGACCCCGAGAGACGTGTACGTGCACGGTTGAATTTTCTTTCAGCGCCACGGTCCACATCACCGTGGTCGACGTGAACGAGTACGCGCCGCAGTTCCTCCAACCGGCCTACGTCAGCACCGTGGACGAGGGCCGCCTCTACGAGGAGGTGGTCCGCGTCGAGGCGTCCGACCGCGACTGCACGCCCAAGTTCGGCGACGTCTGCAAGTACGAGATCCTCACCGCCGACCAGCCGTTCATCATCGACAACGAGGGCGCGATCCGCAACACCGAGCCCCTGGACTACGAGCGCTCGCACAACTACATCCTCAGCGTGGTCGCCTACGACTGCGGCATGAAGCAGTCGGCGCCGGCGATGGTGACGGTCAAGGTGAACCGCGTGTGCGCCCCCGGCTGGCGCGGCATCCCCGAGAGGGTGGACTACGCCGCCGGCGTCGGCTCGCAGCCCCTGCTGCCCTCGGCGCGGCTCGACCTCTGCGACGCGCCCTGCATCCTGCGCAACGTCCGCGCCACCCTGACTCTCGCCACCGATCACATCGGCAAGGGCTGCGATCGCGACACCTACGGGGTGCGCAGCCAGCGTAAGCTGTGCGGCGCCTCGCGCGACAGCGTCGACCTGCTGCCCACGCCCGGGCCCATGACCTCCTGGACGGCCGCCCTTTCCAGGGACGAGGGCAGAGAGGCGGACGAGATCTTCGAGTTCGACGGCGTCGACTCGGCCGCGATCGTGCCGAACGACGTGCTGGAGCACAGCCTCGCGCAGAAGTTCACCATCGGCGTCTGGGTCAAGCACCGGCCACGCCCGCGGCAGGACCCGCATGTCAAGGAGCACATTTTGTGCGCTGCCGACGACCACAGTGAGTTTTCGTCCTAATGAACGTTGAAAATCAATCCGGTATTTTTAATATCGAGGACGATCTATCATCTCACGCGTTTAACCTTCCGGCGGAGAGACCTTTTTTCTTCAAATTTAATCACGTAATTCAACCATATGGGACAACGTGGCGGAATTGGAAATTTTACTAGTAAGATGTATGGCGGAGTTTAAGAAAAGACTCATAAAATTCTTCGAAATGCCACGATTACGTGAGTTTCAGGCTAAATTTTAAGAGAGAACTCTCTCCGTGTTATTCTATCAGATAGTTTTGTATTTGTTTAATATTTGCTTCTTATCGATATGAGCATCCTCTGCTTATAAACAGAAGATGCCCATCGGGAAGAGCAACAGAAACTTGTTGACGACGGGGAAAACAATTGTGCAAAGAACGCAACAATTGTTTGGCCTCCCCGAATACTCGCAAGATTAACTCTGTAGCGTCATGTCCCACGTTTATCGCGCTCATGAGAGATTATCCCGATTGGCTTTACAGCCGGGGGGGAAAGCGAGGGGAACGGGCTGCAAACTTTACAACTTTCATTTCCCTTTACACGCGCCCGGGAGAGACGGTAATTATTTTAGGCGGCTGATAAGCCCACCGGTCGCCCCGATGTCAAGCCGATGCTCGTCGATGTAGCGGAATACATTACGCGCCGCCGCGCCGGGAGTGCGCGCGCCCGAGCGTTAAAATATACACGTTCACTCTGCGGAAACGCCGGGGTATTATCGTCAAGTTTCGAACAAAGCGGCTTAATCCTTGCGCGGAATGAATTTTGGCAAGAAATCAGGTCGAGCGCCGCGCGATATATAGGTCGTCGCCCGTGCACGCTCGCTCGCCCTCTCGCCAAGAGTTCAGCTCGAATATCCCGCCCGGTCTGAAATACAAATCTTTCTAAATACCGACCGGTCTCCACGGGTGACGCGTAATCCTCGGTTATAAACGTTCTCGCTCTCTCTCCTTCGTCCCGGCTCAGCCGTCCGGGCTCTACCCTTTCGCGTTAAATCTCTCCTTAATGCCGTCGCGCGTTTCTACACTTTATTACGCGCGGCGGCGGCGGCATCGCCGTCGTCGTCGTCGCGAAAGGCGCAACTAACGCCCCGCACCGTTTCAATTACAGAGATGAATAGGCACCATTACGCCCTGTTCATAAGGAACTGCAGATTGATTTTGCTGCTGCGACGCGACTTCTCCGAGGGCGACCCCAACATCTTCCGCGCCGCCGAGTGGCGTTGGAAGCTCGGCCAGACGTGCGACGACAAGTGGCATCATTACGCGATCCAGGTGGACTTCCCGCGCGTCAACCTGTACGTGGACGGCGAGGAGTGGCGCGCCGACGAGAAGAACCCCGAGGTGATCGACGACTGGCCGCTGCACCCGGCCAAGGGCGTCAACACCACCCTCGTGGTCGGGGCGTGCTGGCAGGGCTCCGAGAACAAGACCAAGCACCACTTCCGCGGCTACCTCGCCGGCCTGTCCGTCCTGGTCGGTCGAAACGAGAAGCCGGAGGTGCTGTCGTGCCTGCGGCGCTGCCAGGAGGGCATTCACGTGCCGCCGATGGACTTGTTGCAACCGGGCACTCAGCTGCTGACCAACTCCGACATGACCGAGGTGCGCATCGACGGCGACAACCGCACCAACGTGGAGACCCTGCTGCGCCGCATCGGTTACTCCAACACCCGACGTTTCCCGACCCCCGGCCGCCGTAACTTCCGCCTCGACACCACGATCGTCTGCGAGGGTAGCGAGAACACGCCGCTGCCGGTGCCGACCGTGCAGTCCTACGTGACCGTGCTGCCGCCTCCTCGACCGGGCATCACCGTCAACGGCACCGGTTACGTCGCCCGAGAGTACGCCGACTTCCGGCTGGGCGTGCGCGTGTTCCCAGACGCCCGCGTCACCGCCGGATCGGCCGCCCGATTGGACGCCTGTGCCGTCAGCGTTTACCCGAGCCTGAATCCCGACCACGAGAGCCTGGGGTTGCCCGGTGACGCCTTGCTCGCGTTCCACGACATCTCCGCTCGCGTCGACCGGGACGGCGTCGTTCTCTCCGGCGCGGACTCGCCCTACAACTACCAACAGCTGATCCGCCTCATCATGTACACGAACCGCAAGCCGGCTTACTATCTCGACCGCGTCTTCAAGCTCACCTGTTCCGAGCTGAGCGGCCGCTTCGCCAGCAACGAGTACGTGCAGACGCTGGCCGTGATCCATCCCAAGGAGAAGACGACCGTACCGCCGCACACGACGCCCGGAGAACCGCCCATCGCGAGAATCGTCGAGCCGGCACCGGGTCACGCGCAGCTCTCGCCGCACCACGCCGACCTAACGGAGGAATACGCCACGGCCGCGCTTCGCGAGGGCGGCAGGACCACCGTCGCCGGTGGCAGCGGCGGCAGCCACGCCGTGACCATCGTCGCCGCCGCCTGCATCGGCTTCCTGCTGCTGATGGCGGTGGTGGGCGCAGCGCGGGTGCGCGGCGCCGCCAAGCGACGACGATCCGCCGGCGACGAGCTCGCCGCCGAGACGGAGATGGCCTGGGACGACTCGGCCCTCGCCATCACCGTCAATCCGATGGACAGGTTGACGGAGCACGACCAGCACCACCAGAGCCAGCGGGACGAGGACGTGGACGACTCCGGCAGCTCCGACTCCGAGGATGGTTCGTTCCGGGACGATGACCTTGACAGCTCCGACTGCGAGAACGATTGCGACCTCAGCAACGGCCGGCACCGCCGCCACAACTCGCCGCACGACCTGGAGTGGGATCATCGTGACGTTTAAATCACCCTACTATCTTTACACTGAGCATTCACACACATCCCTCTTTCTTCGCGTGATACTGAAGAGGAGTACTGGCCGCGTGCCACTTGCCGCTAAATTTTTCCATCGTTATGTCGTTCCTTCTCGCCGCGCGCCTTCCCAACATTCTCCTCGCGCAGCGAGCTATCCGGCGAATTTTGTCTGCGGGAGTAAAGAGTTTCGGATGATCGTGTACGGATGTCTCTCGTCGAGCGCGACTCGCGTCCGTAACATCGGCTTCTCCAACTTCTCCCCTTCGCGCATCTCTCGGACACCACGGACGCGTCGTCGAGGGATTAGAATATTTATTACGCTTTCGAATCTCCAGAATGTAGAGTAATAAGATTTAACGTTCTAAGCCGCTCCACACACATGTACACACACGCACACGCGCACACATGTCGCTCGATCGATTCTCTAAACGATTATTATCCCTCTATACCGCGCGAGAGCGTTATCGTATTATCCGTCCCTCCCCCTCATCCTCTCTCGTAGATGACGTCGGTATAATCGATGAGGTAACGATATAAAACGGCATTCAGTTAGTACTCGTCTTAAGCGTCAGGGAAAAACCTGTAAGAGTGCGGGACGCTTTATCGAATATAGTTAAAACTCTTTCTACCTGCGAAACTCACGTCGCTGATGTTTTGGTAGAATCGAAGACACACGCAAGAGATACTTAAAGTTGCCCGCCGGGGGTACCTCTCGACGGGGATATTTACGGCAGTTATTAATTTATATTTCTTGACTCATCATTGGTAGTAGTAGGACAAGGGAACTCTTTTTTTTTATATATACTCCTAACTCAATATCTTTCCTCCTTTTTACTCTATACATATATACGGTTGTCGCTACTTTATTATTACTAATCGCTGCGACTACATCCAGCCATTTTATCGAAAGTTGTTTTTATTATTATTATTATTATTACTTATATTATTTCTATTAATTATTACTGTAGGCAGGACGGCCCGGTAGCGTTAGTTTTCAATGCGAAACAGTGCTGAGCTGACCCTATTATTCTTCCTCGTCTTCTCGACTAAACTTTCCTATCTAAGGTCCATTTGATCTCATGTGAATGTAATTCTCTCGCAATAATCGTATCTTTCGTATTTCGATGAAAAGCGCTCGCGGTACGAGCTGACGTGAAACCAAGAAAATAAGAACCGGCGGCGAAGCGCGCGTGGCGGATACGAAGATATGCTGAAAGTACTCGCTACTCCGCTTACCGGTGTAGCAACGTGAATCGGGCTGAGCCTGGGCCATACGACGCTTGCCCAATTCTACACCTTTACTTTTTAAGTCGTTACGTCCCTTCGGTCGGTTTCGTCTTCTTCTTTTTTTCTTTTCGCACGATGTTCCTTCCTGATCGACTCGCGGAAGATGAGTAAGGACATTTTACCACGCATCTCACGCTTGCGCTTCGACACTTAAGATAATCGGCATAGCATCATATCCGGTGTATAAGCGTGTCACACACGTAGGAAGCGGCGCGTTCGAGAGCGACAGCCTCCTGTCGGCCCGCGAACGTCTCGGAGAACGCGGGATGTTCGGCGAGGGGTACAATCCGCCCACGAGCGGACGCTTCACGCGTCGCGTAATTTCGCCCGGTATAAATATTCATTTCTAATTAATTAAAATTATCCGACGCGTGAAGGCGCGGCTCAAGGGGGCGAATTATTCGCTCCTCGTCCGAGACGGTCTCGCTTCTCCTACGAGCCGTTCGAGGAGCGAACCGGCTGTTAACCGTTGACGCGGTTTACGTGCGCGCGCCACGCACACGTGCCCTACATATACACGTATCGGCGTCCATTCATTATTCCGCGGCGAGAGTCTCGTGTCTCTTTCTCTCTCGAGTAAGCAGATTATTCTAAAGTAATGCGCAGCGGCTGGAGGGGCCATCGAGCGTGCTCCTCCCGTTAATCTCCCCGAGACGTGTCGTATCGTGCAATCGCTCTTTTCGCGGAGAGAAAACTGATGCTTTTACGTGCCTTTTAAGCAAGTAGTTCGTTGAATTTTGTATTCTGTATTTTAACAGCGCGAGTCTCGAGCTGTGTTTTTTTCTTCTTCTTCTTTGCTCTCTGTTTTCTTCGCGATGTCCCGTCGTCACTGACGGGTCCGCTCTGTTATCAGGAACTTGCCGCGGTACCGGGATCTCACGAGAGAGAGTGCGAACTCGCGATTCCGGGCGCTCTGGCATCGCCGCTCGCAGCCGGCGACAAGTTCCGCTTGTACTTTAGACAACACGTACACGGAGAGAATGTTTTTTAAGATCTACCTGAAAATCGTGTAATCGTGGGACAACATTTCAAAGAGCCTTGCGAAGAGCTTTTTGAAAGGTTGCTGCCTATTTCACTAGCGAAATGCACGGCAAAATTTCGACAACCCGCAAAATTCTTCGAGATGCCATATTGTTCCACGATTACACGATTTCAGGGTAGATTTTAAGACTAAGTCCTCTCCGTGTATACGTAGACCAAGCAGTGTCTCGTGCTTTTCCTACGGAGAGGGTGGAAGCTGGAGACACAGAGACAGCTGATTGGGCGTCCACTGCTTTCTCGCTCAATACAGCGACTCTTGGCTCAGTGAGAAATGACTCGTCGATCGATGTCGAGTCGACGTCAATTTGACGGTGACTATGTCGATTCGACATCGTCTCGACATCGATCGACGAGTCATTTCTCGCTGGGGGGAGTCGCTAGAGTTGAAAAATTTTGAGCCTAACATAGAGACAATTTTTTTTTTCGGTCAAACTCACCTTTAGTTTTCGACATAGTCTCGTCAGGGCCAGTTTCGCAAACGTTCGATTAACTCTAACCAGAGTCCAGTCGACCCCCTATCTTTTTTCATCTTATTATTTAAGACGAGACAGCGAGTCAAGTAACTTCGGTTAGAGAAGTTACGATGTTCGTGAAACTGGCCCTTAGAGAGAGCTTGGATGCAGAACAGCTTTCTCGCTCACACTCCCGGCTTCACTCTGCTTGGCCTACGTACATATGTCGTTGAGTTTAGACGTATAGAGCCGTTAGGAGTTAAGGGTCGGACGCGCGTTCGCCGGGCGACGACGCGTCCTCTCCTGGGCGTCGCGTCGCGTCGCTTCCGGCGGGCTGTCAGGGGCCCCGACGCACAATACCTGTCGATGGTCCCGCGTCGGAAAACGCTTCGTACACGTGCAATGATCCCGTAGGGTACATTAAACCCTATCTCTCTCTCTCTCTCTCGTCGAAATGGTGACACGACGGCTGCGCACCCGTGGTCGCCGCGAAATAATGAACGGATGCCCATGTATATGTGCGTGTCTCCGCGCTGGCGTAAAATCTAGAGTTATACCGAGTCGTAGCGAATCGCACCACCAGTACCGAAGAACTCGCGTACGGATATATCTATATTCATATAGGGAACTATAATGAACAATTTATTTTTCCAACGAGCATATCATATCATTTTTATAAGGGACTCGTCGGGGACGCTTTTTTAGGAAGCCTCGCTTCCGCCAACGGGCGGCCCGCGGCCGCGAGACCTCGTCAGAGGGTTTCTTTTCTCTCCCCGTCTCCGTTCCCGAGGGGCGCCTGCTAAAGGCTATTCTACAATTGCGTAAACGTGGTTGTTAGCGGTTGTACAGTGTTGTAAAACACAGTTTTAAACTAGCATTTCCGATTGTAAAGCCTGTTGTAAAAGATGGCTGAACTTGATCTTCCACGACTACAACGATACAGGACGTAAAAGCTAACTAATCATTCATTTCAATTACAACGTATCTCACTCTATTGTATATTACTTTGATGTACAACACTTACTACTACTTCTACTCCTACAACCCTACAACTACGTTTACGCAATTGTAGAATGGCCTTAACGCGCGCCCTCCCCTACGCATTTCTCCGACTCGCGCGAGACCGCGGTTACACCTCCAACGAGAATTCGGATTGCTCTGAAAGCGAGAAAGCGGAGTTCGACGACTAACCGGGAAGAAGGAAAGGGAAAAAACGAAGACAAACAGAGACGCGCATGATCGTTTATCTGTTCCTGACAGCTAACCAGATCGCATGTTATACATATACACTTATATACATAAAATACCGGTGTGTACGCTTGCTTTTGTACCGTCTTTCCTTTCCTAGTGTTTCCTCCTAACGCGAGTTTTATTGTAATTGCAGCGCGAATCTTATCGTAAGATATCGTAATCTCGTATTTTATAAAGCAAAGAAAAAAAAACATTGTAAACACGGTGAGAGAGAAGGTAATCGACAAAAAAAAATCGGCCAAGGCGCCCGCGGGGCGCAGCCACGTGGCGCGTCCTCGCGGGGGACCGAGGCCGGGAAAGGATCTGGCCTTCATGAGCGTGTCTAAATTAGCTTACGTAAATGTGTACACACAAGCGTTTGTATGCTTAATCCTCGAGCATAAGTGCACGGTGAGTTATATACAGTTACGGGCGGAGCGTATTTCGGATTCCTATTTCATTTCATCGTCGTACACGCGACATCGTAAATAAACCACGTGCGCGCTCCCGTCGGTCGCGTGACGCGGTGTCGATGATGTTAACGGGAGTCAAGAGGAGCGCGCGCGAAAATCGGGATGGATGCATAACTCGCGGAGGGTAAACTTCACCCCGGCACCGTCGTGCACGCATGGCGCGTCCTCCTCCCATTTACGCGAGACAGTTCCTCAAGTCGGTCTTGAACGTCGTCCCCGCCTCCATTCTTGTCGCTCGAGAAAGAGCCCGCCACTTTCTCTCTGAAAATATTTGCTCATGCAAGAAACATTGGGTCCGGGGGCCGGACTCTTGAGTTTATCCGCGAGAGAAACGTGCGCGCAAATTCTGCTCTTGCAGAAAAGTCGCAGGTTGATTGGTTTATCCGTGTGGTTTCTAGCCAGTCGACCTTTCTTTTCTGCAAGAGCGGGATTTGCGCGTGCGTTTCTTTTGCGTATCAATTCGAGAATCTAGCCCCCCCCCCCCCCGGGAGCTAGACTCTTGAATTTATTCACACGGAAACGTGCGCGCGGATGCTGCTCGTGTAGAAAAGTTGCGAGTTGATTGGTTATCGTGTGACGTTCAGCCAGTCGACTTGCAACTTTTCTGTTAGAGCGGAATTTGCGTGCGCGTGTCACTTGCGAATGAATTTAAAAATCCAGCTACGGATCAGACATTACGCAGGAAAAAAATATACGTATGGAGCGACAAGACTTCCGAACGGCGCGAAACTAGGGGGTCGGCCATGCGCGAGCGACTCTCTCGTTATTCCGAGCGAGGTATCGGGAGGCTCTCTCGGAGGTCCCTTTCGACCGGGAAGTCAGGAAATCGATGAAACGAGAGGAGCGATTTGCAACGTGAACCTAATCGGGTGCGCGCATCCGCGCTAAAGATGTACTTAATCGTTTAATTAAACGGGAAATGAAGGAACTACGCAGAGAACAAAACCAACTAGATGATACTATTATATATAAAAAAAAATATATATAAATATATATCTAAGCTGTTTGCAAATGATGACGGTGTAAAGGGGGTAACGAGGGGAAGAGCCGTGGGGGAAAAAAAACGAGGGGGAAGAAGATATGAATTTGTAATGTACCATTGTATTTTGTAGGCAGCTAGAGCGTGTACGTATACATATGCACAGATACCCCCGTGTATGTATGTATGTATGTTTACGTATATAAATATACATACTCCTACTCCATCTTCGTCTCACCCTGTACACGTACACACGCATACACGTGCGCGGGCGCGCGCACGTACGGCCCCAGAAGAAATATTTTGGCTCTTAAGGGGGGGAGGAAAAAAATAAAACGAGAGAGAGCGCGCGGAAAAATCGGAGGCGGTAACACGTCAAATCTTATCTCCCGAGTTTCCGAGGGGAGGACCTCCTCTCTCTCTCTCTCTCTCTCGTCCATCACGAGGCGAGGGGCATTCTCTTCAGCGCATATTACACGCCCGCCGCCACCGACGCGTATCGACTTTTACACTCACACACACAGAGACACATAAAAATACACACACCTATTTCATGCGACGACAGTGAAAAACGTGCATGTATAAACGCGCGATCACGCGCGCGTGTAAATCGAGAAATTATAACGCTCCGCGGAGCGAACGCTCGTGCCATCCGTCTGATCGGTCGTTTTCAGCTCGCCGTCTCCTCTCGAAGCGTCGAATGTGAAATATAAAAGAGACAGAGAGCATTAGTCGCGACGACGATTCGCGGCGAGACTCTCTCTTTCTCTCTTTCTCTGCCCATGCCGAGCGTAAATCCGATCGAACTCTCCGTTCGTTTGTTCTTTTACGAGAGCGCCCCGATTAGAATTGACGTGTACCGACAGTTTACAGTAGAGTGAATCCAAATTGAGAGCAGGAAGTTCATTAATGAGATCGCCGTGTGTATCCCGAGTGATTCATTTTTCCGTATTCCCGGAGTTACTCAAGTCGAACAAGCTGAAAAGTGCATCCGAGCCAGAAAGGAAGCGTGTAGAGAGCGTGTACTGCGTGTTTTACACATTTCTCATCAAGTACCGAGCGATCGCCCCAGGATCTCGTTGTTGTTTCTCGTTACGTGCGACACTCTCTGAAAAAGAAAAAAAGAAAAGTACGTGGAGAAGTAGCGCGTAGTAACGACACGATCGGATGTTAAGATTAACAATAAAAAGTACATTGCGCGATGACGGTGTAATGAGTGAAATAATCAACTATCGATTAGCTAGGCCGTAATTGCGGAATATCGTTACGTGCCGACTAAAATTCCCTCCCATCGCAGATTGATTGTGTGTTAACTAATAAGATTAAGTAACGGTATAGTATATTACAGTTAAGGAATTTAATTATTATGAATAAAAGTAAATAATTAAAAGGAAAAAAAAATTATCTGTACGCTAAGCACACACACACGTTTCGAGCCGTAACGTGACGTATGGCTAGGGCAATGTTTAAACGAGTCCTTAATTTTAAACGTGACACACTGAGTTACTCGGCGCGTCTGCACCGCGACGCACAGAAATACGTCAAATTATCTTGTTAACTCTGCAAACTGAAAGATCGTTCAATGCAAAAAAAAATGAGAAGTATATTAGCAATAGTATATTAACTATACACACACGTACACGACACAAGATCACGCGCGGCCGCATATACACGCTGCACAGGCTAGGAAAAATGAAATATTATCTATAACGACATTATAAATAACATTAAGACGTCAACTGTATTTGTTTAATAAAGATGTACATTCGACATGTGCGAAACTGACCATTGCGTGGCCGGCAGGTCACCGTGATTGATAAAATTTCCAGCTGGTTTGACAGGGATTTCATAAAGAAAATTAAATATGTATCGCTCGAATATTTTTAAATCGGCTATTCCCGCGTGTGATTTCTAAATGACCTGCCGGTTAAAAATGGACATTATATTATTTCTATTCTCTCCTACGCCCTTTCATATTTGCACTCGAATCTACGTCCCATTCCCGTGAACGCCTATTTTATGTTAAACGAATGTTTGAAGAAGCGAAACGTGGTATTTATTTAAGTATCAAAGTCTTTATTGATGTATATATTAAATAAAAGTTATTTGCACATGTACAACGTGGGTAACAGAACTATACAAATATTAACGTTGCTACGTTTTAAATTAAACAAGTGGAAACTCAATTTACTCAATAATTATTTACAAATACATCGCAGATCAAAACTGAAATTGTACGCTGCTTTGATTAGGCTACTAACGTAATTCACTGATAATTTTATGTGTTTGCGTTAAAAAATATTTTCAATCGGTATCTCTATTTAGTTGCGAGATTACAAGAACATTTAGTTTTGAAGTTATACGGACGTCTGTAAATTATATTTGCGAAGATTGTAATTTCTCATGCATATATTAGTAGATATTCAATAACGTAAAATTACACTGTCCCCTGTAACAACGTTTATGATGCAAAATATTACAATAACTTTAACCAGTCCCATCGAGGTGCAGTAATTGCAACCTCATTTTGGCATGGTATGTATTATTTATATATAATAAAAACAAAATTGGAAAAAGTTACAAAATCTGATTTTCAAGAGTATAAAGTACTGTTATTTATCTCTCTTGCATCTTATTTCGTACAATGTAACATGAGAATGAGTAATTTTTAATTTAACTTTTCATTTGTTCTTCTCTTTCTTTCGCAGCAAATACTAAATTATACAAGAAAATGATGTGACAAAAAAATTTCGTCTTAATGTTATCCTTATTATAAAAGGTATATTTCATTATGCAATAATTGCATTCGATGCCATACATTATACTCTTTCCTGTATACATTCTTATTTTTCTCTTCTAGTTCTTAAAATTCTCATCTTCGGCCATTAAAAAAAAATATGTTTTTGGTTTGTGACAAGTTCTATTGTAAACTTATAATTTTATATATTAACCTTATCGCTCTGAATACTTATAACAGAAAGCACCCCTCATCTCAGTATCAGCAAACAATTATGGTTGCTTCGCTATTGTTGGGAGAAAATAATTTAATATTCTCCGCATTCCAATGTAACAATGCTCCTTGACAAACGACACTCCACACATAAGGAATGAAGAATTCCTCTGGTTGTTCCTCTTCTACATACTTGAACTTTAATTCTGGGAATTTCTATAAACAACAAACAGTATATATGTATAATATTCTCATTAAAAGCAAACAACTCGTAACAATTTCTATATACCCTTAAACGGTCTCTTGGCCATTCTAAAGTTCCTTGTCGTATAGTGGCTAATACTTGACTGACACCTAATTGTGATTGATCCTTTTGTTCCAATTTATAAGAGAAGAAATTAATTACCTGAAAATAACGTTTTGGTAAATGTTGATTGTTACCTGCCAATTTAAAGTGTAATACATGTATATATATGGAAATGCTATGGACATTCATAATTGAAAATCGGAGAACTTACAGAATCAATATTTTGTACAATATCTTGGAAAGCAGAATGCATTCTGAATGGATGAAAGACGTCCTTTTTATACAGGAGAGTGTAAATTAAATTCGGATTGTGCGCGAGTCTATGGGTTAAACAACTATTTATAATTTCTAGCACCATCCGTAAGACCTCCTCGAGTATAGTCAAGTCTTGAATCTGAAAACAATTATATATTTTACTTAATGAATATCAACCAGAGAATGACACTCTCTCGTTCATGCATCTTACCAAATCTTCGTTCGTAGCAGTAACGGAAGAACTGGCCTTTTTTCCAGTAGCAGTTGGAGCATCACCTGATAAATCAATATTAATGTCTACATTAATAGCACTAACGTTACCACTGGCAGGGTGATTGGTCAACTGTGTTGTTTGCTCTAGAATTCTTGCTTCTAACCGTGCGTGCTTTTTTGCAAGAGTCTCGAACAGACTTAGCAACCTCTGACTAACGTAAGGGTGTAGGGATGTGAATTGGGCAGACATGTTTGCTAGGGCTGCCAGACAGTTTGTATGAAGATATTTGTCCTAATAATAATAAAAAGAAATGTGAATTTGTAAACGTGCGGATTTGTAATCGGAGTGTGTAGAAAATATCACACTTACTCTCATTTTAAACATATTATATTGTATCGTACGAATCACAACGAGAATTAAAAGACCACCTAATGATATTTCGCTTATGGATCTCTCGGTGTACCACGTTACACCTTTAAGTATCTTGAAAGAAAAATTACACAATTATTACAATTATTGCTACAGAATTGTATTAAGTATTGATACTTACAATTTCGTGTATTCGTTTGTTAAACGTTTCATCTTCGCTCAAAATTAGCAAGATAATGAGGGACATATAAATATGATGGGATGTGTTGTTTGGCGCATGATATAATATTTGTAGTATCGGAGTTACCTGTAAGCAAACGATTCCATGTATTCAATTGTTAAATATTACGAGCGAAAGAAAGTGAACCTCGGCAACACTTGCCAGTAGTTGTATGTCAGGCCTTCTCATTATGTCCTGTTTCACGCTCGAATTTCTATGTAACAGCATGTAGAGCAGCAGCGTGACTTCGTCGGTATTTGGTATCTTACAAATGGTATTATATAATTTATTTAGATTAAATTTGAAGGTATCAACTGCCTGTCCTTGCGATATAGTATGCTCTTCTGCAACAAAATACATTTTCATTCGACATAAAGTTAATAATCCACAGCACTATTTTCTAGATTAAATTAGACCCGCGCCTAATGCTCACCTTGCATATCTATAAAAGAGAAAAGCGCGTTCCTATACGGATTCTGCGTGGCGGTGCAGTGATTCGTCAGAACCAATAGAAGTAACAACGACTGACTAGCGAGCGGGGTCTCCGTGTCGCGTTTTCTCTCCTCATCCTCAGCAGTGCCGTTGTGTGCGACCTGCACATTTTTCGAGCTACTGCCTATGCCCATTCTTATCACGTTCCACAAGCCGGCTGAAACAACGCTTCACATTAACGCCTCGCAAAATGGACCGTCCGCGCTTTGTGGCATCGTTATATTTACCAGCAATACTGAATACAATACTACCCCCGGACTGCTGCGTCAGTAACCCCGGAGGAGCGTGTTCCTGCTGGATGAAATTGTGCAGCAGGGTGCACACCATGGTGGTTGCGTGTTGGTTTAGATGCGCGTGCATCGCTATCCTGTACACTGTGCTGTACTCGGCCGCGGTTTGAGAAAATAATTGCACCGAGAGCAGCACAAGCAAACAATTGATCGCCTCCAAGTGCACGACATATGTGAATTCACTGTAAAAAAATATATATAGATATCTTTATGACGTATACAGTATGCATTCTTGAAAATATGTCAGTGCATGGACGTCGTCTTCGCTTACCATAAAGGTACATCTGTAATAAGTTCTATCAGCGCTTCAATAAAATACGCCAGTCTGTAAGAAGGGAGCGCCTCGCTTGCCGTTTGCGGCGCTTCAATGTGATTTAGCATCTGTTCCTCGCCAACGGTCTCGATGAGATACTTCAAAATACATCTCACGGCAAACAGCGCGTTGTACGTCTGCCATGCCGATATTATGCTGTAACCAACGCCGTGGGTCATTTTCGAGAGACAAAACGGGGATGTTTCCACTTCATTTAACATCTATGGTCTGTTCTTTATAACTGAACGTACACCAGCTTATCTTCTTTCCTCCACATTGGAACAGCAGCCAATTCAGCTATAAAGAACGGACTCCTAATTGCAATGTATCGACGAAATGGTGCACACTTACTTTTGATTCTGCACAGGCGCCAGCAGCTCGTTGATGCGTATCAGAGCTATTTGTATCAGGGTGCCGAAGTTGCCGGTAACCAGGTTGTTGACGAGCAACTGCTGGCACGACAGGTCCAGTCGAGAGTCCAGTTCTATCTGATCGTTCCTCGTGATGGGCGGTCGTATGTTGTAAGAGAGGAACGTGCTCCAGAACGGATCGTTCGCGAGTATGCTCTGCTTCCCGCAGAATCTTCCCAGGTACACGTTCTTGGAGAGGTCCTCATAGCGGCTCGGCGTCGCCCCCATTGCCCCCGTTATTCCTCTGAAAACGAAACAAGACAACGGCTGCTGATGTCCACCGAGAGAACCCGCTCCACATGCGTACGCACATCAAGTCACGTCATTTTCTTTTTCATTTATACAACAAAACTGACAACGTTATGCGTTAAGTGATATCGAGCGGTAGACCTTCTGCCGACTTAAAGATACTCCCTGCACCGTCAGCGGCGGCGCGAATACAAAAATTGCTCGCTCCGCGAGAACAGCGCGGTCGCGGGTACATCGACGGCCCTGTCTGGCGACGATGACTTGGCGCGAGCGAGTCGACGCGTGCACTCGATCATGAATATTCCTGATATTTATTTCAGTTTGGCGCGCGCAGAATCGCACCTCGACGTGTCGCGGCTCTTGTCAACGACGACGATGGGGACGTTATCTCGCGTAAACGTAAACGCGACGGGTCGGACGAGCTAATAACCTCCGAACGTCGCTCGGAGCATCGAGAACGGTACGGTCGGGCCGTTACTTCGCCGGTGATTCGCAGCCGCGGCTTCCTGTCACCACGGATGGCGTGTCCCGCGGGTCGTAACGAGGCGCACTTACAGAATTTACTGGTCAGTTGACTCCGCACATAACGCATGGAGCAGCGAAAAGTTCCACACTGTCACCAGCTGTATCGACGCGGTCGGTAATCGCCGTCCGGAACGAGCCCTGCCGTATCGGCCGGCAAGAGCGCGCGAATAATTCCTTCAGCTTTCAACTCGCGGCTGTAATGTAATGAATGTTTCACAGCGAATTAGATATTTTACTGTCCAAGTTAAAATGGAACATATTTTTTCCCTCCGATATATTTTAAAATTATAAATTCATGTAAAATACACTATCACAGTACGAGTAAGTGTTTGATTTCGGTGTTCATCGTTTCCTCGATGGAGGTGACGCGGAATATTTCTTGAGCGGGAGGCTGGCGAGTAGAATTGTTTACTTATTGAAATATGCGCGAGAGAGAATACAGCGTACACATCTACAACCGTTATTATTTATTTTACATAAACATTAATAATTTTGAAATATTTATATCGAAAGGGAAATATAAATGGAATAAAAGGATATTAATTATTAAAAGCGCTTATTAAAACATTCCAACGCGAACGCCATTCAATCAGAGTCTAACGACACAATGCTACTACATTCAGGAGAAATGTCAAAGTAAAATGGCAGGTTAAAAATTATCGTTTTTTAAAAGAATACAAAAGTAACAAGTTGTAAGACATTGAGATTAGCATGAGAAAAAGAGAATACGTCAATGTCGGCGTCGGTCCAAGACGCCAAGCCGAAATTCGTCAACTTTGCGATTGGCGGCATGTCGGGGTAAAAAATTCGTATTATGGTTGCCCGTTACGAAGACTTTTCTTACCCGAGGCGCAAATATCTAAAGAGTATCCCGGCTCGAGACTCACGGCAATCTTATTCCGCCAACGACAGAGTAATGGCACAGGTCACGACGCATCCGATGGACGTTCTTAAGATACGCATGCAAGTGTCGCACGACACTTTATGCAACGCAGCCCTGCGTACATTTCGCACGAGCGGCATTTGCGGCTTTTACACGGGCCTGAGCGCGGCTCTTCTTCGTCAGTTGACTTACACCGCCAGTCGGCTTGGACTCTACACCACGTTGCTGGATATCGGCGAGTAATGTCAGCCATTGTATTCATTGCCAGGCGTTGCGTTCTAAAAATTAATTGTAGTCCGCGGAGTCGAGGGTACCGTACAGCTTTGGCAGCATGCCCCTGCGTTATAAAACCGTCTCATTCAAATTCCTCCTCTTCAGACAACATTTTGGCTATTTAAATTACGTTACGATGATTAGCCTCGGGATGGTAGCTGGCATGATGGGTTCTCTCATCGGCACCCCCACGGATCTGGTATTGATTCGCATGGTCGCTGACTTGAATCTGCCGCCAGGTAATTCTTACTTCTTACCGCCTGTATCTTTTCAGAATGATTTATAATACACGGAGAGAATTTTCTCTTAAATTTTTTTAATCATGCAATCGTGGGACAACACGGCATTTCGAAGGATTTTATAAAAGTTTTTTGAAAGTTCACCATACATTTTACTGGTAAGATGTATATACTAATTGTAAGTACAATTACTAGTAAAATGTATGGTGAAATTTCAAAAAACTTTTATAAAATTCTTCGAAATGCCGTGTTGTCCGACGATTGCATGATTAAAAAAAATTTAAGAGAAAATTCTCTCCGTGTATTACAAATCACATACACGTCTAAACACATTGCGTAGTCAATACGGGAATTAATATCTAGAAAAGCGAAGAAATTACAAGAATGCCGTTAGTGGCATCTACAATATATGGAAAACCGAAGGATTTTTCGGGCTATGGAGAGGGGCGATACCCACGATGGGCAGAGCGGCGATTGTAAATGGAGCACAGCTAGGTACATACACAAAAGCGAAGATGTTGTTACGAGACACAGGTTATTCAAATTTGCATTATTAAATCTAGCCCTGTGTGTGGTGTATGTGTGTGTCACAGTGCAGTTTTACCTAAAACATAAGCAAAAGATAATAAATATGACTGTGAGAGCAATAAATAGCAAATAATAAAACATAGAGTTTAATGAATAATTGATTCGACAAGATTTTAATTATCGATTTTAATCGACGCTTTAATATGACAGGATATATCCAAAACGGTATATCACTGCAATTCGCCGCTGCCATGATGTCCAGTGTAATAACGTGTTTCGCTTCGATTCCGATGGACGTAGCTAAAACTAGGTAAAGCGGCGGGACATCGAAAGGCGATATGATCGAGATCATTAAATATGCATTCTTGGATTCTAGAATTCAAAGTTGGACGCAGCCTACGAAACCACCTGGCGTCATGGCTACGATCGTTAATAATGTTAAAACGGAAGGTATTACGTCACTGTGGCGCGGTTTCCTCCCGTACTATTCCAGAGCTGCGCCCAATACTGTAATCACCATGGTGTGCGTCGATCAACTTCATCGAATGTATTCAACATTTTTCCCAGGATCGCAATAATAATTACTTACGCCAGTGTTAACTGTTTTCCTTTAATTACGATATAATTGAAATAGAATATAAGATCGAGGCGTTGCAATCATTTAATTAAATCAGCGCGAGTGTTGTTTTAGAAAGTTTTACAGATTTTTCTGAAATTTTCTACGTCTATGTGCAACGCGAAAAATGTGACTTTTTATTCGAATATTTCTTTTATTATTGCTGGAAATATATTCTGTATAAATGCATCAGCTGCTCGTTGATGACGAGGGTCAGTACCGTGTGCGGACCGATCCTGCAGTAAGTTGGCCAAAAACCTTTCCAAAGAGACCTTATTCCCTCGTTTTTCGCTATTGACGCCATAACTGAGATCATGCCCGGTAGTTTCCCAGTGCTCTTCATATTTTGTATTCTGCGAATAAGGAACAGTAAAAAGATGTTACTAAATTGGTTCAAGAACTCGGTTTATTTGAGAAGTTCCAAATGTTAAAATCGTCGATAACCTGGTCTTGGTAATGTCAAAAGGCATGGAGTTGAAGGCAGTGACGAAGCCCGATACCATCGACGCGCCAAAGTGCAAACCTAGGCCTTCTTTAACGTTCGCTATAAGAATAATAATTTTCCACACAGTGAAACAATTCAAAAGAGGTAGATATAAGAATATTATATGAAGTACTTATAGACCTTTATATATTTTTAGAAATTAATGCATTCATATTTAAGAAATAAAATCACTGAAACGAATCGAAGATATTAAAAATTGTTGTTTAGACGTACTTTGTGACGCAATCAGATGCTTCACTTGGCTGTAAGTAGCCAGTTGCGAAACGTTAACGACAATAGCTCTACCTATCGTGGCCATACTCCCCCTCCAGAGAGTGAATACGCCCTCCTCTCTGGCGATCCTGACAAAGGCGTCAAACACGTTCCTATAATTTCTCCGTTGTTCTAAGTATTGAAAACTAGCTAGATTAGTCCTGGGCGACGTTTCCTTTGACTTTAATAAACAAAATCAATGCATTAATTATTTTGTACAAAAATGTATCATTACCCACTGGTAATCTGCCATCTGTTGTCATTCTCACGAGTGCGACATCGGCTGGTGTTCCAACGAAAGCCCCCACGGCACCGGCAGTCCCAGCCATAAACGCCAGAACCGCGAAACTGGGACGGCCGATATGTTTTTGTCTAAAATGCAATTAACTTCTTTTTACAACTGCATCCACTGTAATCACCAATCTGCAGCCGTACGATGGTCTACCAAACCGTTAAGTGAGATATCACGCATCGCTCTCGAGTCGCGCTGCTAGTATTGCTACTTTATTCAGTAAAATAAAGTAGGTAAGCGAGAAAGATTTCGAGTGTGAGCCTGGATAGCTCAGTTGGAAGAGCATTCGCCCGACAAATGGAAGGTCCCGGACTCGAATCCTGGTCTAGCTGGCTATTTCTCTCGCCGATAAATTAATAAGTCGCGTGTATTAGTGTCTACACCCTAAGAAAGGATCTCTGTTACCGAGACAAGAAATATTCTTGACGCATTTATATTTCTCACAAACTCATTTAGTACAAAAATAAGACAACATTGAAATAAAATCACTAAATTCTTATTCTTCTCTATCGAATTAAAAAAGATTGACTTACTATATTGAGACAAGAGTAACTTATATAAACGTAAGTTTATACATTCCTGCGTTTGGAATAAATTTTCCCTCCATCTTACAACGCACCAAGTTGGCACCACGATATTCGACAAAAGACGATACATACTATTATTTTATTCTAGATTTTAGAATTTTTCATTTAAGATTAAAACATTCCTTTCTCTATGATAAATATGATTGGCGCTATATCGATCCTACTTTATGATACATTGAAGTGTAATAGCATTGGATCCGGAATTTTTTTCTGTGGGCGTACCTTCCCGAAGATCTACCCCTATTTATTACTATGGAAATTAAAAATGAACATGGATATATGCGGCGGCTTTCCGGAAATAGATATACACGTACCACTTGTACGTGTATATCTATTTCCAGATGGCCATTGTTGATATCCATTTTTTACACTGTAGCTAAACGATAACTTGAATTTCAACTATTTGCTTATTTTTTAATCGACGCGATCGCATTAGTTAATTATTGAGGCATTGTTAAAGGCGTCTAAGAGACGTCCTGATTTCATTCCGAGTTCAGACTTTCTCTTAAGACTTTTATGCTGTCCGAAAATTTTCTCGATCGCTCGTTTAACAATTTTTTTTACTCATTTTTTGATCGGTGCTATCAGATTACCTCCAAAAATCTTGCATCTGATTATAAATCCCGAGTCGCACGGTCGTGTACGTCGCCTGTCTGACGAGACCGGCCGTTAAGCCGCTGTAAAACGAAGTGATCCCCTCTTCGTTGTATACAGTGCCAATTATGCTCAAAACCGATACTTTTCCTTTGTGCATTTGCATCCTATTTTTGATCACGTCCATCGGATGAACCACGCAAGTGCCCGCCATTCTGAAATACAAATGAGCATTTGAAATATACCACATTTTGATTCAACGCCGTGAGAAATTACCCGGAAAGGCCACCCAGTAAAAAATTTATCATTGGCGGTATAGGTTGTTTTCTCTTTTCCTTCGGCTCTTCATTCTTTTTCGACATCTTTAATAATTCGTGTCGACGAGATGCTTATAAATCATTAAAAGAATAAATGGCTTCTATTTCTACAAATAATCTAAAATATTTTTAAAGTCTTGCAAGTAAAAATACACGTGTGCTAGAATCTCTATGTGTAATGTCAAATTTTGTAAAAATTAACCTTGTACGTCGGAAAGCGTCTTGCAGCGTGACGGTAAGATATCGATTCAAATCGATTTTTAGACGAATTCGAATTTATTGGTTAATTATTGAATCATTGCTTTATTTTAACCGAAAAAGAGAAATAAAAAGATATGGTTACAGAGATTGCTTGCTATTTCCGGACAGATTTATTCTAGTACAAGGATTTGATACATTTATATATTGTTTATGCGACGTATCATATTTTATAATTGTTATGAGAAATTATTTCGTATTTTAAACTGCATGCTGTATTACAGAAATAATGTCACAATATGTTCATGTTAATTTATGTATTTTGTTAATTGAACGTGCACGTGAGACAAAACGTGTTCCCGAGAAACCTGTTCCAGCCAACTTATTTAATTGCTCGGGAAAGGAGTATAATATTTCGATATGTGTAACGAGTGCCCACTGTAATAAGCCGTGAGAGTCCTCGAACTTTCACAATTTGGCGATTTCTTTGTTCGTAAATTGCTGGTAAATATCACGTCTTGACACGGACAACTTTGTTTCCAACGATCCGATTTTTGCGTGAATCGAAACGCCCGAGGCTGGACGGTGCAATGTGAAAATAACTCGGTAACGTCTCGAATAAATGACGTAATGACCGGACGGATGAGTGGTAATTGCGGACGACTTACAAATTAACGCTCTTTATTGCAAACGGCAGTTTACTGCAAATAATATATTTGATCAACCGGAACAGGTTTCGGGCACATGCAGCGACGGCCCCTGTATTTTCTCCTCGGCCGTTCAGCTTTAATGGCCGACTCCTCGAGTTTCTTCTTGTTCGACGTTAACCCCATTTCCCTTTTAATTGCCTACAATCAGGGACGATTCTTTAAAATTGCCTGATATTCTTGTGATATTAATCTCAAACTTCCGCGCTGTTTAAACGTACCTCTGTAGCTTTCATGATCGGGTAAAGCGGTCTCACACCCCGGGACTCTTCTAACACTTCGTCGCTGTAAAGCAAAATCCTTCGGTTGGCTCTCTCGATCGCGGCTTTAGTCGCTTCGACTTCCAGAACTCCCTTTTCGCGTTTGTCATCGACTCTTCTTGTCATCCCTTCCTGATGATTAATATCATATTAAAAATTAAATTATTCTAAAAAATCATCAAAATATTTTATCGCGTTTTATAAAAAATATCGCGTATTTATAAAAAGTTTATTTTAAACAGAAAATACCTTGTGTAAAAATTGTATTTTAATATGCACATACACGTCAAAGTAACGATTAAAAGTATAATCCACATGAGAAGAAATAATTATTTAAAAAATCTATTCTTACGATATCTTTCCGCAATTCGTTGCCATATTCCAATTTTTGTTGCCACTGTTGCCTGCGTTCTTCTAAGTCGGTCTGCTTGTCATACTCATTTCTCTTAAATCTCTGCATCATCTCCCAAGCTCTCAGATCCTTCTCCTCTTGTCTTTGCCTCGTCTTCACTGCTGCGTCATGAAGCCTATATTCCACCACGAGAGCGCGCATCTTCTCTTCTCGTTCCTTTTGCGCTTTTTGCTTTTCCACCTCAGCTGCCTCTTTTTCTTCGACAGCTTTTTCCAGGATGTCTCGCTCTTTAGCCTCGCGAGTTTGCTCCGTCGAAACGCGTTGCTCCGCTGAAACAGGATTCGTTAACATCTGGATCTGAATTCCGCGTACAAAATTTATGTTTCTGAAAGCATCGTCAAACCTATAATCTGCATCTGACGCGCTTTCTCTTCCTTTTCCTTCAGCGCTAACGATTTATGAGCTTTCTGTATTCCATGTTTAGCCTCCCGATAAACTTCTAATGCTCGATCATCTAATTCCTCATTGCGCTTCAATTCCAGTTCAAATCGTTTCTTCTCCTCTATCGCTTCCTTGAAAAATTGCTGAAGTCTCTTCTTTTTGTTCAATATCTGTATAAACAGAACAAAATCGTTTTTGGAAGAAGAAACAATATTTTCAACGAATACCGGAACTTACATCTTGCCTCTCTTTCTCTTTCGTGAGTTGCATATCTCGGATCGCATTTCTTTGATCCTGTTTTTCAGCCTCCAATTCCTTCGTTACTTTCAGCTTATTGTCTCGTTCGTTCTCTTCGATCCTGATTTATAATTAATCTAATAATACGTGTCAATATCATGCTAAAATTATATTTCTTTGACTTTGATACCAATAATATACTTATTCAACTAATATTAATACCCATTCAATTTACTACTACTCCGAGATCAAGATTTAGACTTATATTCTCGCGCGTTTTCACGTTACAATTCCTATTAAAATTAGGATTTACTGTTTCTTCAATGCAGTCCTGTAATCTCCCGTTTTTCTCGCACGTTCCTCCGCTTCTTGTCTCTTCAGCTCCTCGTATTTCGCGGCGTCTGTCTTAATCGAATTAGCATATCTCACATCGTGTTCCTTGTCCATCGCTCTAGTAACCATTTGAAACGCCACTTGGGCGTCCAGCTCCCTGAGACACTGATAAAAATCGCGATAGACTAGTTTGAGTTTAATTAACGGCGGAGCCTGGCTTAGGAGTTACGTGAACACTCCTTTCGTGAGAAAGTACCTCGGAGACGAGGAGAGCGCGATTAATCTGTCGGCACAAAGGCCTCTTTTGCTGGAGCAATTTCCTTGCTTGCTGCACCACCTCTGCACGCTCCGCCAACTTTTTCTCCGTCATTTCCTTCACGAACGTTCTCCTCTCCTCCTCGGCCTTTTGCTTCTTTGACAATAATTCTTCCCGCCGTCTTGCCGTAATGTTCTAATAATCAAGTCATTTTCGTGTCAGCGGCGTTATCAGTCGCGGCTACATAAAATAAATTTTAAGAAAAAAGTTGCAAACGTCTGTCTAGAAACTTATTTCTACCTTCTTCGAAATCCTACAATACGCGCTGATCAGAGATATTCGAAATATATTTTGTCTCTATGTTTTTTAAATGTCTACTTTGGAGATTAGAAATGAATTATTCTTCGCGTTTGATCGCAATTATAGTGAATCGTGAATAGATCAAGCGTACTTCTATTGTGATGTCCCACGTTTTACTTTTCTCGTAAGTCGCTTTTTTCAGTGCTGCTACTTTTGCAGCTTCCTTTTCTCGTTGGGCTACTATTTTATCCTCCTCCGTAGTAAAATCCGTGAAACGCTGAAAGGTATCCTTCGTCACTACTAACGCCCGAGTTCTTTCGGAAACCTGCGAAAGCGCGATTAAATTTTCAGTAATATTACACGTAGGGGAAATTCGGTCTTCATAAACGAATCAATGAGGTTAAATAAAAACGCGCACTTTGGTAGCCTCGAGCGTCTGCCCAGGTTTTATGAGATACGTCGTACGCATTTCCGGATGATGTATCTTTTTTTGCACCATTTTAGAACGGAAAAATTAGAATAACCCGCCAGAGGCAAAGTTTTTCAATGCAAATAGTTTCAATTCCTGCTGAAAAACTACAATTCAACGAATACGTGCACACCATCGACGTACTCGCAGTTTCACACAGCACGAGTGGTTGACATAGAAACCAAATAAAAGCGATCAATGCGGCCTGATAACAAGACCGAGTAAAATCCATTTTATCATCACTCTCATTGTCAGTCAGAAACATGTCAGCATTTTTTAATTTTCTGTTGAGAAAAATATATTGCAGTTGGCATAATTCATTTATTTTATGTAATTAAAAAGGCTCAAAGTAATACAGTAATCACTTTAATGTAATATAAGTGATTTATTTAATTGCAATTCTTATTCATTGGCTTGAAAGCTCTTATGCGTTTTATGTCTACACTGTCTACAGAATAGGAAACTAATAAATAATATCTAATATTATATAATTTTACATATTACGTGTGGACATCTTATATTTATATGTATATTCCTGTATATAATATAGTGTCAGAAATGATACGTTTATTTATTTGCGATAATGATATTGATAACGTTGCGATAAGACCGCGCGAAGTACATTTAATTATTGAATTCCTCGAAGTCACAATTATATCCATTCCTAATCTTACGTTAGATCTTCTTAAAACCGATATCGGACTACGCATCAGAGATTATTTGTATAATACATTGTGAGTTAAAGATTGGAATTCAATCAGGACAAACTGATTAAAATCCAGATATTTGATTGATCGAATTTTAACATTTAGTTCACAACCAAACTACGTGATGGGCAGAATGGTTGAAACACTTTTTTTAGGTTACATTCCAAAATCTTCTCCGATTATTTTACTCGATGGCCATTCCGAAACCATTTTGAGCGTTTTCAATCTATTTCTCAAATAAAATTTTTGTTCGCTCACACTTAGCCGAAAATAAACGTACTTTCAAATAACTACGATTATATATGCAATTGTTTGTATTTGGTACAAAGAAGCATAAAGTTTGAAGTGCAATTGAAAAGATTTGTGAGTTATTCGTTTATTTGTAATTAATTAATTATTTTTCCACCTGGCACTTAGCAAAAGTAGACCAATTAAACAAAGTTTTTATACAGAATCGTTTGTATTTTGTAAGAATTATCAAGTGTGATAAAAAAATTGTGAGTCATCCAGATAATTTTAATTAAATATTTATTAATTTGGAAGTTAGTCGAAATTTCGTTACTCCTGTCGAAAGAAGAGGTGAAGTTCCATTGGTAGTTTCCCTTTAATAATATTCAATAATTTAAGATATAAGAAATAAAATTTCTACCAGTTTCTAGTTAAATAATATTATTTATCAGTAGTTTATTACTGGCGAAGAAAAATACATATTATATATACTAATATATTATATATTATATATATATAATATTATATATACATCAGCCATGTATATGTATATGTATTTAAAAAACAGGTGTGGCGATCGTGGCGCAGAGGATTGTGCGCTGGTCTGGTAATCCGAAGACCCGGGTTCAAAACCAAACAAAAACGTTGTTGGTTTTTCGTTCGATCGCCACATAGCGAAGTGGATATAGAGAGAGGTATTATAAGAGGTTAGGTTAGGGGCACGTTCCCGCATTTCGCTCTTTATGTTTAAGCTCCACCTCGTGTGCCTCTCTATTCTCTCTGATATCGACTTCAGACGTTACCACCTCTTCTGCCTCGTCGATCTTTTTTGAAACAGCATTTTTTTCCACTGGGAGCAGCCTTTCTTGCACTTCCCTCCTTTGCAGTCTTCGCTTTTGAATTGGTTTCTTGTACAGCGGCACCTTGCTCCTTACTTTGTTGTATTTTAAAAACAGACCAACTTAATTGTATAAGTTTTAATTCGCTCGAGTCACATTATTGACGACGATGCAGCGCGACTTTAATGTTGGCGTGTGAAAATCGCAAGTCCCGAAACGTAAAAATTTTCGAAATCCGCGATTCTCATGCGATATTCCTCCTATGCCCCGGCACGAGTTCTGTTAATGTCTCTTATCAGTCAAAGTGCTCAAATCGCGTTTTGACCCAATTGCAGATTCAGCGCGCGTAAATGATAGGTGCAGAAAAATAAAAAGAAAAAGAAGAAGATTGGTTTTTGGTTCATCTCGTTACGTCGATTTTTCGCCGAGATATAGCCTTGTAAAAATCGGGCGCGCGCGCACCATTCTTCTGAGAATGTAGGGCGAGTTTTTACGCGAGTTTTTACGCGAGTAGTACGTGAGCATCAAAAAACTGACTTCAAAACATACAAGGCACAGGTGTTCGATAGTAAACACCGCCGCGCCAGACGCCGCGCGAGACGCCGCATATACGAGCAGTCTGCTGCTTGTCCTCGGGATTATGATCGCGAGTCGATATAATCGTCAATTTCTTCGCACAGAAAAATCATAGCGAGATGAACCTGGTCTCGTTTGAAAGCTAAGATTTCAGCGCTTCTATCGAGATAAGAATCGTTTATCTCGGATCGTTAGTTTCTGAAATATCGTTGATTAATTCTGGAAATAAAATTAATTTTGTCCCGAGATCGAGATCAGGACTCGATATAATCGTCAATTTCTTCGCACAGAATAATCGTAGCAAGATGTACCTAATCTTGTTGAAAAGCTAAGATTTCAGCGCTTCTAACCATAAGAATCATTTATCACGGATCCTTAGTTTGTGCGATATCGTTAATGAATTCTGGAAATAAAATTAATTATATACCGAGATCGAGATCACAAGTCAATATAATCATTAATATCTTCGCACAGAAATATCATAGAAAGATGATCTTGGTCTCGTAGGAAAGCTAATATTTCAGTGCTTCCACAATCGCTTTTTGACGAAGATTCAGCACATTTTAAGATTCCGCGCGAGACATTGACAAGTGCAGAAAAATTAAAATTTTGCAGTTCGGACACGATTGCCTATTCCCAAGCACGAAATCGAACGATGTCTCGAAATTCTTGATTCGCTAGAGTACTGGCGACGATCCATCCACTTTAAGTTGGCGCAAAAAAATCGCGAGTTTCGAAAATTAACAATTTTTGATTTCTAACGCGATATCCTATGCCCCGGCATTAACTCTAATGATGTCTCGTAAGTTTTAATTCGATAGAGTGTCATTCATGACGACGATGCAGCGTGACTTTAATATTCTCGCGTAAAAATTGCAAGTTCCGAAACGTAAAAATTCGAAGTTTAAACGCGATATCTTATGCTCTCGTATTTATTCTGACGACGCCTTGTAGTTTTTAAGTCGATAGAGTGTCATTCGTGACGACGCTGCAGCGCGACTTTCAGTAGGCGCGTAAAAATTCTAAGTCCCGAAACGTAAAAATTCCGAGTTTAAACGCGATATCCTATGTCCACATATTTATTCTGACGACGCCTTGTAGTTTTTAAGTCGATAGAGTGTCATTCGTGACGACGCTGCAGCG